TACTAGCTCAAGCTGTGTTGATCATGAAAACAACAGACCAAGTGAAGTTGTTCCTTGTAGGTACCTTAGGGCTTGTCTCAAAGTTGTGCCATGATTTTCCTTAGGCTCCTTCATGTATCTGCTAAGTACTCCCACGCTAAACGAGAAGTCCGGGCGTGTATAGAGAAGATATCAAAGGCACCCTATGCTACTGCGATACTCCGCCTCGTTAATACTTGCTTCTTGTGGCGCCTTATATAACTTTAGGTTCATGTCCATTGTTATATGAGAGAGATAATAAGTATGCAGACCGGCTTCTTCAAGAATCTTTCATGCATACCTATCTTGCATTAGTACAATACCTTTCTCGAGTTGATGTACCTCGATACCTAGATAGTATGTCAACTTTCCTAGGTCGCTCATCTCAAATGGCTGCCATCTCCTTTTTAAACTAAAAAATCAGCTGCAGTTTGGTTCCTGTAACCAATGATTCATCTATATATACACACACGATCAAAAGACCCTTCTTATCTTATCTCCTATAAAGTGATGGATACTTAGTGCACTGTACAAAATTAAGCCCTCTCAGAATCTGATTAATCTTAACATTCCATGCTCTCGGAGGTTGTTGCACACCATAAAGAGTCTTCTTTAGCTTGTATACTTTACTTTCCTCTTCTTTTACTTTGAACCGTTTGGTTGAGTAACATAAACTTTTTCCTTCAATTCTCCATGTAGGAATGCTGTTTTTACATAAGTATGATATATATCCCAACCATTTGATGCTGCAAGCTTTATTACCAACCTGATGGTTTCAATATGAGCCACTGGTGCAAAGACTTACATCGTAATCAATATCGTGCCTTTGAACATAACATTTTTCCACTAACCGTGTTTTGTATTTATTAACACTCCCATCAGCATTCCTCTTAATCTTGAAAACCCATTTCAAACCAATAGGTTTAAACCCTTTGGGTAAGTTAACAAGAACCCACATATCTTTCTTTTCGATTAAGAAAATATCCTCCTTACGAGCGTTGAGCCATAATTTTATCTCTCTCGCCTCATCCCAGTCCCAAGTTTCATTGTTTATTACTATTAATAGTCTCTCACACTCTTCTTCTGCAAGAAGAATATAATCATCCAAATAAGAAAGGTTTTGTACTTACACTAGATGATTTTCTCAATTGTGACTCCAGTTGTTCATCTTCGTCTTCTTCTTCATCATTATTGTGTTGTTCATCGTCTTCGCAGTCCTGATTATTACCCTCACTATCGCTTGTTTCTCGAGCTAAGGAATGGGTATCGATACCTCCAATATCGATCTCAAACAAGCATGTTTTGTTATCTTTTTTTGTACCACTCGTGTTCCAGCTCCACTCCTTCTCCTTGTCAAACACTACATCCCGACTAACTATAATCTTTCTGCTTGTCAGTTCAAGAAGACGATTAGCCTTAGATTACGGCTCTATTCCTAGGTGCACCAGAACTCGAGATCGATCATCAAGTTTCTTTCTCCCTGCAGCTTCTGTTCTTGCGGATCATTCGTAGATCCAATGAGATGATGTGTACTATCTCTAAGCACATATAACTTCTTAATAAAATTTTCTCGCTCATTCTTGACCAAGTATCATGAACTTTAGTAACTCTAATAAGGTAATAAATTCTAAAATAAAATAAAAAATTGAGATTTTGGGATTAAATAAGAGAGGAAGTGAAAATGAAATGGTTTATGTGTGTAAGAAATATCAATATGTAGATGTTGATGGTATGTGCATTTAGAGCTTGAAATTGGTTGTTCATGGTGGCTAGTATATTGAACACAGTGACAATTTTGTAAATAAAAGAGGAAGATGAGGATGGTTGTGTAAAACAGGTAATTTCAAAAACAAAATAAAAAAATTTGCATTTTTGTGAATAGTTTGAACTTCTAAGATGAAAAGAACAAAGAAAAATTTCAAAAAAAAAAAACATGGATTACTTTTGTATTTGATTGTTTTTAGTCATATTTGCAATGTAAACCAGATATCTTGTTTACATTATTGACCAATTTAAACGACATCGATCATTTTATTTACAGTCAATTGGTTTTTGTGTTTAATTTCCATTTGTTTAATATAGATCTTCAAATCAGCTTTTCAATAACATATCTTTTATGTTTACAATAATATAAAAACAAAAAGGAAAAATTACAGTTAATATCTAATTTCAATACTTTAAAAATATCTTTAGATTTATTTATGTATATTGCTTCTGTGAAACTGTTTCTGTAACTAGAAAAATAACTTTTATAGATAGCACTAAGTATTATTTTATCATTATGTTGATTATATATATTTTATCAAAATGTTATATATGATAAACCTTTTATAATGACTAATTCTATAGGGTATAAATACTTTTTTTACCTAGGTCATAAGCTAATGTAACAATTTTAAACGAAACTAAAACTAACTATCTAAACCTTATATTTCATAAACAAATTAAAACGGCCCAAAGCCCAGATGGAAATAGGTAAAGGGATTCTAACCAACTGCGCTGTCGACATATCTATACTATTAAAGCAGGATCCTATTGTTAAAATTTTAGATTCTACCCTAGATTTTTATCATATTTATAAAATAATACCACTATTTATTTTTAGAATCTTAATTAACTAAGCAATTTAATATCTCCTATATTTATGGTAATTGATAATATTTCCTATTTTGTGATTAATAATAATTTTCCTTTTATGAAAATTATGATTTTCTATTTAATTTTAATATCATATTTCCGTGCATCATATTATTTAGCGATTAAAAATTAAAAATTATTATTTATTCTGTCCTTTTATCCATAATAATGATATGTTAATTCAATTTGTTTAAAAACTAATTTTAGATATAAAATGAGTAAAAATGCAAACTTATCATAGGTCATTAATAACGAAAATAAACTAATATTGTCATATGAATAAATTGTGTGTTTTTTTCTATTACCATTGTTTCATTTTTTGCAAATGACAAGAAATTTTTTATTAAAGAAATTACAAAAAAATTAATTTTATTTAATATTAAAAATATGAGTTATTTAACCAATTTTTAAAAATATATTATCAGTTTTTTATGGGGTTATTTAACGGATCAACGGATATCATAATACAGATTAATAGCGGGTTTTAAAATATATACCGGTTTGCTTAAATTTTTAATTAGTAAATTTTTAATTAAATCTTAACTGGATTATATAATAGTTGCCGGATGTACCGGTTCAACTATGGATCTGGATCGGATATGAAAACATTACGTGAAAATCAAAAAATATAATAGAACATTTTAAATATTAATAAAACAACTTTTAAAATTTTGTGTGTAAATAATTAATTTAAATAAATTTTATCAAAATGGTAGAAATATACCTGCGCTTTTAAAGCGCGGGTCAAAATCTAGTAAACAACTTAATTCTAAAGTTATATCTTATATTGTTATGGTGTCAACTAACACCCTATTAACCACGTGGATCCGTCTCTGGGAATACGGCCATGTGTAGATCTACAGGTTAGTCATACACAGGTTGTCCCTGCGCGTATGAAGAGTTTTATATAGAGATGGTAAGTACCGTACCACCATGGTGATAGATGTTGGAACCCGGTACTTCTAGCACTCATTTGTAAGAAGAAAATACCACTAGGATATAAGCACTTTTTTTAGAGTTATCTTTAATTTCTTGACTCATTATTTAAGATTATATTTGTAAAATATATCTTTGCAAGACTGGCTCCAAAGACCCCTTGTCCCTACATCGTCAACTTGCTTGTGGAAGCGGGCTAAATGTAACTCACATTCACATCATCACCGGTCACACAACCCAAATACGCATGAGACTTTAATTTACACTCGTATGAATGTAAAACCGGTTGTCATAAAAATAGAAAGAATGATAATGACATACTCCACATATGATGGCTAGTGTTTCTCATGACTATATATCACCGTATGAATTCAAATTAAATATACTGCATGGTTTGAAACAGAAGAAACACACACAAAACATATCATAATATATCAAAATTAGCTTTTAACAAATCATTGTATAAACATGTTTTTTATTCTATATAACTTTATAATAAAATATTATATATGGTTCACTTATTTTAAATTGGAGTTTAGGACTACTTAATCAGAAATAAAATTTATTCATTTTAATCTTAATTTTTGTTATATGTTTTTATAGTAAAAATGTTTTGGACTAACCCGTAAGTCTTCCACTCATAATCAAAATATGTAATATATCCATTTTTAATTGTTACGATCTTCTCATCTTGATACATAGACATCACTGCTTGAACAGTGTTGGTGATTGCTATTTTTAATATACCCAAAGCATTTTTTTATGGGAATATCTATCAATGAAGATTTTTTTTCAAAAAAAAATAATATATATATATATATTAATATTACTTAATTATGGGATTCTGGAACTATGGAAATCCAACCGAAATTATTTTTGATGAGATACTTTTTGGGTTGTCTATAATTTTAAAAATTCACAATTAAATACTAATACTAAAATATATACATATATTTATTTTGAGATTTCCATGAGTAGATATCCCTATTGGGGAATGGGGATGCTCTTAAACGTTCATGCAAGGTATCACTTATTCGGCCAAAAATTTAGGCTTCTCAACATAGCCATTATTATTTTTGGTACAAACTTTTTGTCACAAGAATTTTCGGTTATTGCCTCGTAGACTCATCATCACATATATTCTTGGCCATAGGCTAATGAAATAAAAAAAAAAAATAACCGCATATCTTTCGGACACAAGAAGAAAATGACCACATTCATAAGACTTACTGACTCGGACTTTTGAGCAACCGATATATTCATTCTCAGCTGAACATAATATAATGTTCAACTACAGCACAATTTTAGAGAAAGAGTCATCGTTTAAATAATTACATTTATGTATTGTGTTTAGAGACCCGATATCTCATCGTTTGGTTAATATCCTGGTGATATTATGTTAATCTGGAGATTGTAGTGATAACCAAAATGCAAGCATTTCAAACTAAGACGTTGGCTACAAAATCTATATCATTAAACAGGTCGAAAATAGGTCTAGATGGCTACATGAACATACATGCACCAACGACAGGGAACGCTTACAACAAAGAAAAGTATGAAACTCTCACGCATTTATTATATCACTTTAAAACAAAATTAAGACTTAAATATGAAGCTCTAGCTTGCTTGCTTTTATCAAACCATAAATATGTTTTGAAGAGGTAACTGTGTGCACGTCGTATGCATAGCTAATTCAAGTGCATTCGAAACCCGACGGAACCTTTTTGTTACACTTGTTGAGAAGAACGCTGAGAGAAATAGGAACGTTAAGGTTGATTCCAAGAACGTTAGCCCTAAGTGCAGTGCAGAGACAAACTGCAGCCTCGAGGTCAACCAAACCTTGAACAACCGAGCAGCATGGTTGAGCTGATGGCTGACCCAACTGTATGTTGAGTAGGTCGCTTAGGACATTTCCGCATATACCGAGCTTGAGAACATCTATAGGACAGTTTCCAGATGAACCAGGGGTGCTAGGAGGTGTGACAGGCGTAGGGTTAGGACTTGGGACCGAGGGACTTGGAACAAACGGACTTGGGACATGCTTGGGAGGGCTGGGACTTGGGAGCGGCTTAGGCTTAGGACTTGGGCCCGGCTTGGGTTTGGGACTCGGGCTGCAGCCACAATCAGTTGCAGCGGTCAACGTGAAAAAGAGGATGCTGAGAGCGAAGAAAAGAGCGAGACAGGCTGAGTTCTTTGAAGCCATTCTTTTAGAAAAGATAAACTCCGTGTTATAAGGGCTATTGAGTGTTTATGAGAGAGCGAGGGATGAAGAGAAATGAAGAGAAATGAAGAGAACGTGTAACTATTTATAGGGTTTTGTAAGGATGTGAAGAGTACCAACTTGTTTGAGAATATATCAATTAATAATATCTTTTCTTTCTTTCTCTTTATTATATATTTTCTCTTAATTATATCATTCTGAAAAGAAAAGAATCTGATCCTTTGTCGTATACAAAATCTGACTTATAAAACTAAGAGAGAAAAAAAAATTGATTTGAAAATTTGTCTTTAATTGTCACATTGTCAATGATGTTATAACCACCACCATCATGAGTTCATGACCTCATTGCACATTTATTCAGTCTTCGACTAGTAGTCATATCACAGCAGAGCTTGTATAACTTTACATCTGGTAGATAAATCACAGCCAATACAAAATGTTTTATCATGTGAGTGTTTTCAAAATTTCGTATCCTCTTATGTTATAAACTTGTTATAAACTTGGAGGACACCAATATCCAGCAAGATTCGGTTGAGCTTTGATCTGATGTGTTACAGATTATTTTGTATGTATGGACAAAAACGTAGTTGGAAAAGATACGATATTTTCTACTCCTAAAATGTGAATTTCATTTGTTTGTAAATGTTTCATAGGTAGATTCTCACAAGTAAAAATTTGGCAAAAAGAACTAAAAACAAGATTAGACTAGAACATAACTTTGACAATTATTAGCAGTGACGGAGGCAGGAAATAAATTTTTAGGAGGATCAATCCATAGTTAATATATATTACAAAGTCAATTAACAAAAATTTATTGAGTTCGTCAATTAACAAAATTTTGTAATATTTTCCAGTTTTTTATAAAAATATACATTTTAATTTTTTTTTTTAAATAAAAAATCCACGAGGGTCAGTTGACCCCGTTGCTAACAAACTGGCTCCACCACTAGTTATTAATGAGTTATCCATTCATGAAGGCCGCTTGGATCAAGTGAAATATTTTGTCTTATGTTTCCCAATTTTGTGTCTCTGACAAAACAATCAATACTATTATATAGTGGATGGATGAGTTGATGTCCTCTTGTGTAGCCACTTGTTCCGGTCTGCCTAAAACCCATAGATTAATTGAAGGCAATGCAGCCTGGGAGGTCGTAGAACATTCACATCTTTTATGGAAAGTCAATCTGAGAATGCTATCCAAGTGAAAAATAGATGGAGTTGTAATCCAGTCTTTTAAGAACCATGTCCCATATATGCCCGCTTACTTCACACATAATAATAGATGATCCATGTTTTCTTTAACCATTTCGCAAAGGTATCACGATGAGTTGTCAGTGATGACACATTAAAGTAGATGATACCTTGCATGAAGCATGTCCAAGTATGCAACCCACATAGTGCAATCCAAAAAAAACACCCACGTTTTAGAAGTCGAGAACTTGCAATAGACTTGAAATATTTATCTTCAGCTGCTGAAATCACCAGAAACGAGAGAGTAACGAGATGCATTATGTAATGCTTCTTCTGCTTCCTACCTTACACCTTTGAGATTCCACCTCGATGGACAACACACATCTGCAACATTTTCATTCAATGGAACTGGCAGTTCTCTTGGAACAAGTTCTCCAAATCTGTCAATAATCACACAATAAACTTATGTTTAAGTGATTCTCCATGCATGCAAGAAATGAGAAGCCAAATGCCGCATATTCAAAATGGAACGCCAAATCTAAGATCCAGCTTTTGCTGCATTCAAAACTAATAAATTGTATGATCTTATTTTGAAATTGATCTAGTCGGCTCACATATATAAGATTTTTGTTGAAGATCTTGAAATTTTTTTGAGGCATAGTGTCATGTTATCCGTCGTTCGTCCAAAATATCTGACGAATATTTGTCAGATATTTGTCGGTTTTCATGTTTGTTAATTTTTACTATCATAAATTGTAAGAAGTATTATATAGACGATTTATTGCTAATAATTTTATCTTATTTATGAGAATTCACATCTAATTGTACCATTATCGGTATTATGTCCACGATTAACGATACTTCTTTAAACCGTTATTTGAGACCACGATTAATGGTACTATCGTTACTTCTTGCAATCCTGATGAAGAACTTTTTAAAATTTTTCCTCAATTACTTTTTCATAATTGGCATTATATCTGAAATTTAAAACTTAGACTTCTTTATGTATAATAATTAATGAACCTGTGGGTAAATAACTAAACTAAGGAGGTTTCTGCGAGTTTTAATAGTTTAATAACATTGTTCCAATTTCATATTCGATAACTAAAAGCGAAGAATGATTAACTTCTTTGATTTGGAAAAAAATTGACTCCTTTTTTTGGCTATTGTTGTCTCTCTATTTTCTTTTAAGGTTTCTCCTTGTTAAGGAAAGTAGGGCTTTTGGCTGGGATCTTATTCCCCTTTTGTCGGTAATAAAAACAGAAAATCTTCATATTTGGTTGAAGATTTAAGGGAATATTGTTTTTTTTCTCAAATTTACTAGGGTTTTCAAGAGATGATAAGGTTTTGTGTTTCAAACGAAGAACTATTTTAGCGACGTTTTTTAGAGTTTGAAAACTTGGCGTATGAATATTGAAAAGGTTTTCGAAGCAATGTTTGTCGAAGAGGAGGATGTTTGGTGCGGTGGAGAGGAATAAGATGAGTATTATGGGGATGACGCTGAATATTGACTGTCAAAAGGTGAGTGACTTGATTCTGGATATGCCAAGGAAGTGGCAAGTTTATGATAGAGTTAGAGGGACTGCTCTATCGAAAACAACTTTTCAGTTTGTGTTCAAATACGAGCATGACCTAGATTAAGTACTGCAGAAAAGAATGTGGACGTTTAATGAATGAAGCATCATCATCGATAGATGGGTGGAGAAACCTCTGGAAAATTATCTGAAGTATCTGCTGGTGTGGGTCCAGATCCGCAATATACTGGTGAATCACTATGTGGAAGCTTCCATTAATGCCTTTGGGGAACTGATTGGAAGAGTTGATGTGGTTGCATTTGACCCAAATAAAGCACAGAGCCTCACAATGCGAGAGTTACAGTTTTCTTTGACGTATCGAGGCCGGTAAGGTAATCAAAAGTTGTTAACCTACCTGGGGGAGATGTGGTTACAATTCAATATGATTTTGAAAGGATTCAGAAGAGATGCTACAATTTCCAACGACTGACGCATGACAGAGATAAGTGTCCTTTTCTAATTCAAGCAAGAAAGGACCAAGCGGCAGTGCGAAGGCAGAGAATAGTAGAGGAAAAACAAAGTCTGCAGGTGCTTATTCATGAGAATGACCCATTATTTGGAGTGTGAACTGAATCACAAGTGGGTTTGGACAAGGAAACTGATAGAAAGAAGATAAACCCTGAAGTGCTTCAAAATATGAAGGAGTATTTGTTGGGTGAAGATGGAGGTGAGAAACGAGTTAGAGAGGAATGTGTCAGGAAGTCCGTATTGGAGTTGGAAGCTGATCCAGTGGGATCAAAAACTTTTTTAAGATTGGAACCGGCACCAGAGATTACATCAGATGTAAACAGAGGGAAAGGTCTAACGTTTGATTACTCTGAGAAATTTGATGGAGTGTCTAGCAAGAAAGCCGGTGTTGGTGCTGCTGATACCTTTGGGTGTATGCGTGAGACCACATCAGATTGGGTTTCTGCTCCTCTGGATCGTTCATCGGGATTTAACTCTGGTTTCTCTTGAGTTAATTCTGCCGGAACATCTAAGATGAGGGGTGCTTGGAGGAGAAGACTGCCAAAAATGGTCCGGAAATTTAAAGCTAAGACCGATGTTACTAATGGGGAAGATATGGCTCATGGAAGTGAACTAGTTGATAATGCGGCAGTGAAGAGAAGAGCAGTAAAGGTGGCAGGGAACTTTACGAAAGTGGCGAGACGTACAAACATAGAGGTGGTCCCAAATCAGGGACTTCCCAATCAATAATGAGGCTACTGAGCTGGAATTTCTGAGGCTTGGGACGGTTTAGTGTAAGCTGGATAGATGCTTTCGTAATAAAGAGTTTAAACGTGTTTTTCGCCGGGCCTCCATGAGTTTTTGGCAAGGCTGGGATCGGATTATAGACTTGTTCTAGTCGACTTGGTAAACTAACAAGAGAGGAATAAAATGTCTTTTTGTTTTGACAAAAGAATGGCTGGTAAAAGGCGTATGGCTGAGACGATCAGGGAGGTCTGGCAGAGTTTGAGTCAAGGGGCTAATTGCAGGCCCTTATTGGATAGATTTGGAGGGGTTAGAAGAGCTCTAAGTAAATGGAAGTGGGAGAACAATCAAAATTCGAATGAGATAATGAGGAAGCTGAGACATGATCTTGAGATAGCAACATCATCTATGGCGCCTGACTTTGAGAAGATTTGTGAGCTAGAGAGGGACATTGGGAAAACTTTTCATGAAGAATAAAAAATTTTGGAAACAGAAAAGTAAAGATAAGTGGCGCTAAGTAGGAGATAATAACACAGCTTTTTTCCATGCATCGGTAAAGGCTTCAAGACAGCAAAGTATGTTAACAAAACTGATATCAGAGGATGGCAGAGAAGTGTGCACTAATGAACATATGGGTAAAGTTGCAGCAGAGTAATTTGGGAAGATTTATAAGTCGCCTGGTAATGATAGTACAAGCGATTTCTTCACTGGCTTTCAGGCTAAGGTTACCGACCAGATGAATCAACAGCTTACAGAGGAGGTCACTAATAAGGAAATACGTGCAGCTGTTTTTGCAGTTAAACCATCAAGCGCTCTGGGTAATGATGGAATGAATGGTCTTTTCTTCCAACAATACTGGGATATTATAGGTAGTGACGTAACAAGGGAAGTAAAAGGTTTTTTCCAAACTGGGGAATTTCCGAAAGAGTGGAACTTCACACAGATTTGTCTTATACCTAAAGTAACACACCCAAATCTGATGGTTGACTTGCGACCAATAAGCCTATGTTATGTCTTGTATAAGATAATATCGAATATACTGGTGTCTAGGTCGAAGCCACTTTGGAGCATATTGTTTCACCAACGCAGTCGGCCTTT